CATAGACTATATTATACATTCTCAGTATTCTCTATATTATACACTCCTGTTACCGGTGTGCGTGCGTAGGAGGCGTTATCAGTTGTCGTGTATCGTGAAGCATTCTGAGCATTCTGCTGTTGTTTCCGCGCTGTACGTAGGAGGAGGCGCGCCTCTTCAACCTCGACTGGAAGGTACCGTGCGTGCTCTACTTTGTGCGCAAGGACATCAGCAAGCGCTTCCAGGATCCCGTCAAGAACCCGATCACGACCGACGTGCTGCTTAACGAGGCGTCGCTCGCGAAGAGCCGTGGCCGCGCCATCAGCTTCGCGCCGCTGCAGCCCAACGAGCTGCCACAGGCCGGGGACCTCGTCGGCCTCGACGCCGAGTTTGTCACCCTGAACCAGGTGAGTTCGTCAACATGTGAGTTCGTCAACAGGTGAGTTCGCCAAAGGTGAGTTCGTCACCATCAACAGGTGAGTTCGTGACCCTCACGTAGGTGAGACACAGGAGAAAACACAGAGCAGACAGTCGCATCAGCTAATGATAATGCCATCAGCAAGACTCCGATAATAAGTCAGGTGAGACACAGGTGCACAGTTTAATTAATTTTTTTAATTAATTTTTATTAGCTCAGCTGACGAAGTCAGATGCAGCTTGTAGAATCGCATGAATGTCCGTCCGTCCTTCCGTCCGTGTGTCAACAGTTACGGCACAAATCTTAACCGCGCGACAGAACAACCTGAAAATTCGGGACGTCGGGGGGGGATCGCGAAAAGGACTCGGGATGTCGAATTTGGGGGTCAAGGGTCAAAGGTCAAGATATGTCAATGGTGGGGGAGTGAGTTTATCAGAAGAATACCTGGCTACAGTACACGTCAGTTGAGCGCTGTCGCTCTGCGGCACTTGTTATTTTATAGGAAGAGGCAGAACTCCGGAGCGATGGAACCAGATCTACTATCAAGCCATCACAGATGTCGGTAGCAAGAGTGACATGTGTCAGAGGGTAAGCAACGTGCATACAAACGTCTAATTTACTTATCTTTCATAGTATCTATTGTAACTCCTATCACCTTTAATAAATTTGCAGTATACTACACCAAATGTATTTGTCTGCCTACAGCAAGGCTGTCCAATTAGTCATGAGCCTTTATTCTGCATATTAAACTAACTATTGCGAGATTTTTGCTCAGAAAAACTAAATATAGCTGAATATAGTCTCACCTGACAGTGGAAATATCACTGATTACATCAACATTAAAAATACCAAGATTTTATGCAGTTATAGCATAGAAAAATGGATTTGACCACATCGTAACAGCAATAAATTTTATCGTGTGCCGATAATGCCTAATGGCAGAATTGGTAAACTTGTATTTGTGTCGGTGATTAATTGAAAACAAGTGCATGATTTGTGAGAGCCTGTACTATGTCTACGGCAGATAAGCGGTGTCACCACAAGCTAATCCATGCTTCCGGCAGTTTCAAGATGAAATGAAACGAATGTTTACCAAACTAGTAGTTTGAAACTGGCACTTTTTTGGTGAATACGGTTCTAAGCCATTTTATTGTTACTCTAGACAATTGCTGTTAATCAAGCAATAACGGTAGGTGTCATGAAAGTGATGAAAACACTGGAAAACTCTCGCAATAGTTACTTTAACTGCAGTCATTACCACATGTAAGCTGTTTTTAATTCGCACAAATATTTTACAGGCTTAATCTCCCTATTTTGGCTATTTCTGTAGTTGTTATGTGTGGAAGTAATTCCCGTAAAAGTTTGGTATGGTTGCAAACGTATGATTTTGAAGAATAATAGCAGATTGACTACCATTTCCTGTGTGGGGGCAACTGTGTTTTATCTGACAGCAGTATACGACAGTATAGATGATTTGGCATTATACATTGTTTGTTTTTCATTAGGCAAAGTCCCCAGGAGGGTATGCCTTTCATAGATGACTATATCTCAACACAAGAACAAGTAGTTGATTATCTCACCAAGTTTTCGGGAATCAAGCCAGGTACCAACCCTATATTATGGACAATACCCCCCCCCATGTTTCACAAGTTGCTATTCCAGTATTGTAAAAATGCTATCCATTTCGTTTACAAATTCAATATTTTAGTATTAATATTTTGTTTTACACTTAAAATTACCCTAATAAATTCACGAGTTTTTTTTATTTAATACTTTAAAATTGCCAACATTATTACTTTAATATTTGCCGTTTGTGCTGTAATGCTTGTTTTTTATTCCTGCTTGGATACACTGTAAATTGCTCGTTTTGTTCGCACAACTTCCAGGCGATCTTGATGCTCAATTCTCCAACAAACATTTGACAACGCTCAAGTCTACATACATCAAGTTACGCCATCTAGTGGACGTCGGCATTATATTTGTGGGTCATGGACTCAAAAAGGATTTCAGAGTGATAAATCTTGTGGTGAGTGCACAAAAGCACCAAGAATAGAGTCAGCAGTCGCGACTGTATCTTCTTAAAGCACCGCCTAGCACCGTCTGTCATTGTGATTGCATGTTCATGGTTCAGTTGACAGCGGGCCGATATAATTGATCACATACACCCTGCAGTCAGACTCAACATCATGACTCATTGACGCATTCCTATCGCGGGACATGGAATTAGCCAAAATGTGAACAGGCCCAATTTCGCGCACTGCTATCTCTTCAGGTTCCTCCAGAACAGGTGATAGATACTGTGCAACTGTTCCACTTGCCTCGGCAGCGCATGATCTCACTCAAGTTCCTAGCCTGGTACTTTCTAGGTAAGTAGCATCATCTAGTGGCAGATCCAGGAATATATATGAAGTCTAAGAAAGAAGTCTAGAAGTCTAGATGTATATGATAGAAGTCTATGGGAGAGTCGATGAGTGTGGTGTGGGGTGTTGTGTGGGTGGGCAACATGGAGAATACGGTTGCAATTTGATGGATTTAGACTATATTTTCTATTTTAAAGTCGTTTAATATGTATTTCCACCGAGATAAACTTTTGCCACATACTGGAAAATTTAGGCCTGCATTTACAAAAGAGAATGGAGTGCAGTTCTTATCCCCTGGATCTTACCCAGTTCTTACCCTCGCCGCCTGTCACCTCTTCTCTCTTTCTCCCCGGCAGGCGTGTCTATCCAGTCGGACATGCACGACTCGATTGAGGACGCGCGCACCGCGCTGCGCCTTCACCAGAAGTACGAGGAGATGCGCCGCGACGGCGACGACGTCAGCACCGAGGTGAAGATACGTGAGATGTACGAGAAGGGCCGCGCGCTCCAGTGGAAGGCCCTCGACGGTGACCTTGACGGCGGCATACCCGCCGACATACTGCAGGACATGTGATTGGCCGCGAGGTCAAAGGCTGCTATTAACCACCTTGAGGGCGGCAAACCCGTGAGGTCGAAGGTCGGTGGGCAGGTTGACGGCGACCTTGAGGGCGGCATACCTGCCGACATACTGCAGGACATGTGATTGGCCGCGAGGTCAAAGGCTGCCATTAACCACCTTGAGGGCAGCATACCCACGAGGTCGAAGGTCGGCAGGCAGGTTGACGGCGACCTTGAGGGCGGCATACCTGCCGAGATACTGCAGGACATGTGATTGACTGTGAGGTCAAAGGTCGGAGGTCACCGTTAACAACCTTGAGGGAGGCATGCCTGCCGACATACTGCAGGACATGTGATGACCGAGAGGCCAAAGGTCGGAGGTCACCGTTAACAACCTTGAGGGCGGCATACCTGCCGAGATACTGCAGGACATGTGATTGACTGCGAGGTCAAAGGTCGGAGGTCGCCGTTAACGACCTTAAGGGCGGCATACCCACCAACATACTGCAGGACATGTGATTGGCCGAGGTCAAAGGTCGGAGGTCAGGTCGCCGTTAACGACCATGAGGGCGGTATACCCGCCGACATACTGCAGGACGTGATTGGCCACGAGGTCAAAGGTCGAAGGTTGCTGTTAATGACCTTGAGGGTGGCATACCCACCGACATACTGCAGGACATGTGATTGACTGTGAGGTCAAAGGTCGGAGGTCGCCGTTAACGACCTTAAGGGCGGCATACCCACCAACATACTG